ATTATTATTCCCCAAGCAGCCTGAACTGACCTTGCTGGGGCCCCAAGGGGCTGCCCTCCCCCCCCTTTCCAGGTTCCCTTCCAGAATGGCTACACCTGGGGAGGCCTTGATGGCCCGTCCGCTCTGCCTCATCGAGAACCGCCCGGACGGGAGGCTGGTGCTGCAAGAGGAGGCCCTGGCAGTCCTGCAGCGCATCCGGAAGCCGGTGGTGGTGGTGGCCATCGTGGGGCCCTACAGGACCGGGAAGTCCTACCTTATGAACCGCCTGGCGGGCCAGCGGAAGGGTGAGCGAATGGAGGGGGGCGGTGGGGGGCAAGGGCACGATCCAGGGCCAGGTACTGTCCCGGAAGGGGCCATGGCCTCTGATCTGATCCACTGGTGGGTCTGTGGAGCCGGGCCTTGGGGCAGATGCCATATCAACTCTGGAGCAGGCTTCATTGATGTCCTAGGGGGCAGGGCCCAGCCTGGCCCCCTCCTCACTGGCCGTGGTGTCCCCTCCATTCCAGGCTTCTCCCTGGGGTCCACGGTGCAGGGCAACACCAAGGGCATCTGGATTTGGTGCCGCCCCCATCCCCACCGGAGTGACCGCACCCTGGTGCTGCTGGACACGGACGGCCTGGGGGACGCAAACAAGGTGAGTCCATGGCAGCGGGATTTTGAAGAGGGGGCTTCTCTGCTTGTGGCCCGGGGTCTGTCTCATGGGTCTGCTTCATGTGAGACCTGAGCCCACTCTGTGTGTTTGTGGGACCAAGGCACAGAATGGTAGCAGAAGGCGCTTGCCAAGCCAAACCTTACAAAGGCAGGCCATGGTGTGCATCCACCCCCTTCTCTCCATTGCATTGAATGGGCTGAGGGAGGGGCCCCTGTAGAGTGAACAGGGAGGGAGGGGGGCTCACAGAGGCCTGCTTCTTCTCTTCCAGGGCAACACGCAGAACGACGCTTGGATCTTTGCGCTGGCCATCCTGCTGAGCAGCACCTTGGTCTACAACAGCATGGGCACCATTGACCAGAACGCCCTGGATCAGCTCCAGTATCCTTCCCTGGGGGGCAAATGAGTGTGTGTGTGTGTGGGGGGGGGGGTGAAATGTATGGAGGGACAACCAGGTTCCCTTTGGGATCCTGGCTGGGAGGGGCGCCCACTGGACATTGGTCAGGAAGGATGCCCTGGGGGGATGCCCTGGGGGGTGGATTGGGGTCACCGAGGCCTCTTCCATAGGCAAGGAGTGAAAAAAAAAGGCTACCTGGGCAAGACAGCCCCTTCCCACACAACCAGGCCCATGGCTGAGGTGCAGCCAGGAAATGCAAGGTACTGTGTTTCACCACATAATAGTCACACTCTCCCCCCCACCTTTTTTTTCATCAAATGAAGGGTACAACTATTACATCATGGGAAACATATTCTACCTATTTATCTACCTATCCATACATATTACTTCCCAAAGGGGAGGAGGGGAAATCCAGCCTCAAACAACCAGTGTAAAAACTTCAAAAGGGAGTTCTCGAGCTCCACTCTTCTCTCCTCTCTCCTTCCTCCTCCTCCTCCTCCTGAGGTCCTGAGGCAGTTTGTAAACTCTGGAATGGGGATCTTTGGAGGAAAGAGGGAAGATTTGAATTCCAGATACCTCAATTTACTTATTTGTTTGTTTGTTTTGGCAATTCTCATCCTGTCTTTTC